GGCTGCTGCCTGAGGAAGGAGCGATGCTCATCCGACCCTCGACGGAGAAGCTGCTCCGTTTTTACGTCCGGGTTAACTCAGGAAAATGAGTTGCTTTGCATGGGTACAAAACGGCTCGCTCTTCTCCTTGGCCCAAGTGGCAAGGAGTCCCCCTGGAGGGCCTCCATCCCTACTGCTCCCCCCCCCCACGTCTAATGTCCTCCCTTCCGCGGGGGGGGGAGGGGAAACGAGTGACTCCACCCCGCCTCCCCCCCCCCTTGGTTTAGATTCGACCGGCTCCCCCGCTCCGCCGGTTGGCGACCGGCCGCTGTCCGTGGTGCTGACGGAGCGGCGCTGGCCAGGAATCGGGGAGACACTCGCTCTGTAAAGGGGAGGTTTCTGCGGAGGTTTTCTCCGCCTTCCCCCCGCCGCGTCGTCCACCCCTCCCCGATCTTCAGTGCCCGGCTGGTCGAGTTTCCCAAGAACGGGAGGCGAGCAAGATGGACGCGGGGAAGGAGGTGCGGCGGCGGCGGGGGGCCCCTGGCCGGGAGCCCCCCAGCAGCACGGAGACGCTGTTGGCGCTGTTGGCGCGGAACCAAGAAGGCCGCCCAGGTAAGGGGGGGGCTCGAGGGGAGAGGAAAGGCCCAATGGTTCTCAGCCATCCCGCCCAGGTATTTTGGCCCTGAACCCCCTCTTTCCCTCCCCCCCTCCTCAGGCCCGGCACCCTCAGCAAAAATCCAGTTTGGGGCAGCGGGGTACTTCGTATCCAGCCTCCAGGACAGGACACCCCCAAATGAACAAGGGGTTTGCAGCCCGGAGCTGGGGAATAGAAAAGGAGGGTTGAAATTGGGGCAGGGTAGATACTCCCCCCCCCCGTTCTATTGACCTACAGCAGCACAGGAGCCCTGAAGGAGATTCTTCCCCCCCCCCAATGCCACCGCTCTGGCGGCTTCCTTTATTCTGGGGTGGGGGGAGAGGGAGATGATTCCCAAGGCAGGTCAACTCCGCGCATCCCCCGAGGGGAGCAAATGAGCGTTGAGGAAGGAGCCTCGCAGGCGGGCGGAGGGGTGTCTTCGGGAGCCAGGCAGCAGCCGACTAACTTTTTACTGGGTGGGTGGGGAGCCGTGATCCCACACACACCCCACCCCCAAATTGGGCAGCCGTTTTCTCTTTGGGAGAACTGGCCGCCGCTGCTGAGAACCAGAAAATCCTGAAAAAGGAAGGCAAGAAATGGGAGAGCAGAACCGCGTTCGCCGCATCCTGATCCCGGGGGGGGGGAGTTCCTTCTGGCGCGAGGGGTTGAGGAGGTACGGAGGGGGGGGGCTGCCTTCCTTCTGCCCCCCCTTCCCGAGAAGGTGTCTCTTCATGCGCAGCTCCAGTCGGGACCTTTTGCGCCCAGCTGGAGGCCTTTTCTAAGCCCCGTTTTCCTCCTCCGTTTTACTTCTTCCCTCGTTTTTCGTTTTTCTCTCACTCTCTCTTTTCTTCCTTCTTCCGTCCATCTTGTTCTTCCCTTGTCTTCCTTTGGCCTCAGTTCGATTCCTTAGGTATTGTTTCATCGGTTAATCAACAATCATTCTTGTGTTTACGCTTTCCTTCTCTTTTTTTCCTTTTCATCCTTCCTCATCCTCCTTTCCTTTTCCTAGATTGGTGGGGGGAGAGCTGGAAATAATAATAATTCCTGTCCCTTTTTGTTTTTCTTCTTAGCCTGGAAATAATCATGGGACTTTCTTGCACTGTAATTGACATTATTAGGAACTCCGATTATGGAGAAGTCTTAAGTAGGATACAACAACACACAGAGAAAATTAAATTTAATTGCAGAGCAAGGAAAACCAGTTGCCCATTTCCTAAAACCCGCAGAAACTGAAAACTGAAAACTAAAATGTCCTTTCCTCGATTCCTCTGTTCTCTCAAACAAGTCATAGCAATTCAATTTATTTATTTTTAAAAAGTGAAGGCAGATAACTTAATTGCCCTGATGTAATTTTTTAAAAAGGCGAACGAAAGTCCCCCCCCCCGCCGCACACACACAAACCCTGAAATAACGAAAAGTAGGGAATTACTTTCCCAGAAGAGCGAAAATCCTATAACTGCGATACTATTTATCATCGTCGTCATCATCATCATTTCTTTTATTCATTAAGCATGAAAGTGAACATTGAAAGATGGGTCACAAATCCCATTGACTGGTGCTGATGGTTGATACGGGTTGCTGCGAGCATTCTAGGTATCAACCAAGTATTATTATTATTTCTTGTATTCATTAAGCATGAAACTCAGTCAACTGAACATTTAAAAATGTGTCACAAATCCCATTGACTGGTGCTAATGGTTGATACAGGTTGCTGCCCAACATCCTGGGTACCAACCAAGAACCTTCTTAAAATATACGATGTTTTTTGCAGTTCCGCTGGTGTTATTGCAGGAAGCTGCAATTTCTTGATGTGTTTTGTAAAATTCTTGGCCAGGGTACCAAGTGCCCCGATGACCTTGGGTATCACTGTTACATGCTTCATCCATAATTGGGTAGTTTCGATGGCCAGGTCGCGATATTTCTTGATCTTTTTTTTCTAGCTCTTTTTCTTCAACTCTGGCATCTCCTGGTACAGCGATATCAATATTATTA